GAAAAGTATATGCAATTTCCTTATTACCAGGAAGTATGAGGATTTTTTGGTCATTCAGGTCTTATGTGAATTGTATTTCTATCGTCTTTCCAGTTTTCTATTGGACTGTTTGCCCTTTTCGTACCGATTTGTAATACTTAAAAATATATATTCTGAATACTATCCAAGTTTTTATGTGTTGCAGATGCCTTCTTCGAGTCAGTCATTTCTATTTTAACTTTGTTTTTGTTACCTTAAAGTGTTTTTCATGTTTCCATCTTTGATCCATTTGAGTATAATTTTTTAAATATGTTATGAGATAGGGATCTACTTTTATTTTTCTTCACAAGTGGGCCAATTTTTTGAACACCACATATTCCTTCATCTTTTTTTGACAGACTCATGATTCTGTTCTATCTTACAATCAAAAGATGGTAAATTCCTATTTATTTGAGTCTGTTTCTGGAATCTGTTTGATCTGTCTTTTTAGAGTTGTAGCAATTTGTGGCCCTTTATTGGTTGATGAGTTTGTCATGTTTGCCAGAAACTTCTGCTGAAATTCTGATTGGCATTATATTGACTTAATAAACTACTCTTTTCAATGGCTCTTTATGCCTGCCGTGTTTCAGCACCTCCCATAGGTAGTGCCAAAATTGGGAAATGATGAACATGACAAAAATTCACATCCTCAAAGTGCTCACTACTTACTGGGGAGACACACAGAGTAAACATGCCATTGCCAAAAAAAAAAAAAGAATGACAGTATATACAAGTGCAAGGAGGTTGGAAACTTAATCTTGGAGAACAGCAAGCAATTTGATAGACTATGATCTTCCTGAAAATGATTGTATATATCTTATTCATCATTGTGTATCCAGTACCAGTACAGGGCCTGGTACCTACTAGACACCCCCAAAATATTAACTAAATAAAATATCCAAGATTGGCAGCTTAGGGTCTCCAAGCCTAGAGTATAGTTTGGGGCTGGCCAAGTCAGTCATCTGTATGTTAGTGATGAGAAATGGTGGAGTTTTTACATCAGATCACAAATGGGATACTAGGAGTTTCTCCAAAACAGAGACCATATCATTTATTTTTATATATCCATTATATCTCTGTATGCAGAGAGTAGGAAAAATTGCTGAAGTTCAGTGAGTTCCTGTTGTGGGAATTATCAACTCTAATTAATCTGAAGGCCTGGAGAGGTGACTCAGGATTCATCTTGCATTCTTCTCTCTTTGAAGCCATGGCACCATATTGAATGTGACCTGTGACGAGTACTTGACCTTTGGATGACCTTTATTAACTGTTACCACTGTCACAGCAGTCTGCCCCACTATAAGCACTCCATGACTGCTGGTCCATTGCAGCTCAATTTTTATGGTCATTCATTCAGCAGACATTTGCTAATCTGTTTCTCCCTCTTACATTGAGGATACGGAATTTAATTAGACGTGAAGCCTGTCCTCCAAGAGCCTACAGTTGGTCAAGGAACATAAGACATATACCCAGATAATTGTAACACAGAATCAAGAGGTTGGAACTATCACTTGAGCTGGTTGAGGTGGAGGTGATATTTTGAGCGTCAAAGATGCATTCTATTTGACAAATGCAAAAGGGAAAGAGCATTCCAGCCAGAGGTGATGGCATGAAGAAAGGCTTGGAGATGGGGGGAGGGGGGAATTGGGGGTTGAGGGAGCGGGGAAAGAGGCAAGAAGACCAAATATTATGGCCAAGAATTTTTCAGGGGTCATGGACTCATTCTCAGGGGCCAGATGGGTAATGAACATGGGTAAAAAAGGGCAGGGTATAAATATTTGGAGAGAGATCCTACTAAAGGCATTCAGACAACTTTAAAACACCTCTAGCCAAGGAATTGTTGAAGCTAGGTGATGGATGGGTAAGAGTCCGTTATACTAACGTGTGGTTTTTGCATATATTTAAAATGTTTCATAAAAAGTTTGGCAAAAGACAAAGTACAAATATCCATAATGAACTTTAATATAAAATAAAACAGTGAGAGGTAAAACACATCCTCTGATGGAAGGAATAGGAGCAGATGAAGCAGAAAATGTAGAGCTCTACATTGTAGATGCTTTGAGGGGCCAAGCTGCATTAATATTTATCAAGTACCTACCATGTAAAAAGGGATTCGAATACATCAAACCATTGAAGATTCCTAATAGGGGAGTAACAATGAAAAACAAGTTTAAGAAGATTGATTTTAAAAGGAAGACAAAGGGGCGCCTGGGTGGCTCAGTTGGTTAAGCGACTGCCTTCGGCTCAGGTCATGGTCCCAGGGTCCTGGGATCGAGCCCCGCATCGGGCTCCCTGCTCGGCGGGGAGGCTGCTTCTCCCTCTCCCATTCCCCCTGCTTGTGTTCCCTCTCTCTCTGTCTCTCTCTCTCTCTGTCAATTAAATAAATAAAATCTTAAAAAATAAATAAATAAAAGGAAGACAAAAACCGATAGACCTGTATATATAGTTGAACATTTGTTGGATCTTTGCTATGTGCTAGGCTCTAAGGGTATAAAGGTGAATGACTTAAGGCATAATTCATGCCCTTGGGAGCTCACCTACATATAAACTAAACATTACCATGCTAACATATTTTGTACTTGCCGCTCTGTTGCCCTGTGGTTGCATTCCAGTCGTTTCACATTTATTGGAATCTCACCCCCTGGTCCAGATCTGTTCCCTGCCCACTGCCCCCACAAGCCCATCATGGGCACCAGAAACAGTTTGACTGACTGCTGCCAAAATTACCAGAGAACCAGCCATGGCTAGTTTGTTTTTCTTTTGTTTTCTTCTTCAGGAGTAACATGAGGGTTCTTTCTCTTCTGGAACTGACGAGACCAAAACATAGGTAGTGCCAAAAGTGGTGACAGAAGAAATCCTGGGGGAAAGTATTTTTGCCTTGTACTTGGGACAACTGCTGGGCCCACCATGGCTCCTGTAAAGATTAGCCACGTGGTATCATTTTCCTCTCAGGTACGTTAATTAGCAGGCATGATTTTTTTCTTGGTGACTGAGAGGAGTGACAAAAA